TGTCTGTGAAATATTTAGACGTGTACACACTATTGCGTACATCAAACTGCCAACTGTGCTAGCATGAGGTACACATTCCATGTGTGTCCTCTCTTTTTCTATAGTGGGAGATTGTTCACTTGAGAGCCTGAAATGTGGAGCTAATGGAGTCACCACTAAATTAGCACTTTGCATCCCAAACCTTGTGATAACCCACTCAATATAGCCCTTCTGACTCAAGAGCATTCATCTATTCGCCCGCTCTCTTCTAATCTCCATACCCAGTATTTTTTTAGCAGCGCCCATGTCTTTCATCTCAAACTCTTTACCAAGTTGAGATTTCAATCTATCTATCTCCACCTTGCTTCTCGAAACAATAAGTATGTCATCAACATACAAAAGAAGATAGATATAATCACCTTCACGAAGCTTCAGAATATAAACACAACAGTCATAATCACTTCTGAAAGACTCATGCTTTAGCATGAAGGAGTCAAATCGCTTGTACCACTGTCGAGGAGATTTTTTAATCCATTGAGTGATTTTCTCAAGCGACATACATGATGCTCCTTATCCTCAACCTTGTAACCTTCAGGCTGATGCAAATAGATTTCCTCCTCCAAGTCTCCGTACAAGAAAGCCGTTTTGACATCGAGTTCAAGCTTCATCCATTTTACCAAGATCAAGTGTCATGAAGATTATTGCTTCGTATAATTAGTTTAGAGTTTATATTATGTGTGTTCAATACTTTAAGCCCAATATCATATACACACACATTTTATTAGTTTCTATGTATATATATATATATATATATATATATATATATATATATATATATAATCAAGTGTCATGAAGATTATTGCTTCGTATAATTAGTTTAGAGTTTATATTATGTGTGTTCAATACTTTAAGCCCAATATCATATACACACACATTTTATTAGTTTCTATGTATATATATATATATAGTTATATATGCACACACATTTTGGTTTTTGGTTTTATCCACAAACAAAGTTTTTACAAATAAATTCCAAAAAATGTTTATACATGTTTGTTTTCATGTGGATAAGTTATTTTAGTTTAGTTATATAGACATGAAACAAATATACATTCATATACATATTCATAAGTTTCATTTTCTATTATATTTGGAAAAATATTATGTTTATGGATTAAAGACTTGTTTACACTATTTTCATATCTTGCATAAGTCTCTAAATCCATTCTAAAGTGTTTCAAAGTTTTGTTT